CCCTCACAGGCCAGTCCATTCAACAAGGTGATGATCGTTTGCAGTCTCCCTAAACCCTAAACCCCTAGCTCACATGAATCCCCAGGACCCCCCAATATCCCAAGGATCTCCAGCTCTAAGGCCTCGAAGACAGGCCGTAGGTCTGCAAACGGCAGGAGCCTGAGCCGCAACCACCGAGACCCGCAGAGGATAATGTTAATAATCATCATTATCAGTCATATTAATGATACAAATCATAACAGTAAGTATAATGAATAGGAATAGTAGTAATAACAATAGTGGTAATGATCATACTGACGATAATAAGGGAAATCAGAGTGGCAATAAGACTGGTAACAGGAATGATAGTAGTGAAATCATACTAATGGTATAAATAATGATCGTAATCTTAAGAAGAAGAATAAGAATGATGCTAGTAATAATAGGTGTGCAGTTTTGAGGTGGGTTTAATGTAGGTTTTGGGTCCTGTAGGGCATGGAGGCCCTGCAGAACGAGTACCGACGTGCTGTGGGAAGTGAACTGTACTCAAGCGGACTGCCGGCATGCACTGCGCTTCTACAGGAAGATACCGGGCTTAAGGGGATCATATAGGGATTCTTTGTTTATGGCAGGCCTCTGCGTCTGTACTCTCTGAGGCATTTTACATAGGGAGAAACTTCTCAAGCAGCGGACCCCAGAGGTAGGGCGCACTCAACGGCCACGCAGGACACTGGCATCTTGCTTTTACATGCACAAAACATCATGGACACGAAAATGTACATCCACAATCCTAGGAAAGCTGAGGAAGTGGCCACTCATAGCAGCCAGACTTCGAATAATCCGGCCCCGGCGCATCCATTGCTGCAGCCACATCGCGGTGAAAGCCAAACCCGCTGAACGTTGGCGAGCAGTTGGTAGAGTGATGCGCCAAATATCATGCACAGGTTGGTGGTAGCATTACGACTGACCTGATTCAACAACAATGGCAATCGAAACGATGGTGGATTCTCAAGATAAGAACTGGCGCAAGAGCATGACACCGCGTTGGGCCTGCTGTCTAGCTACGCTCTCATGTGCACATCAGCTTGGCTTGGACGTGGTTTTTCCCTGCTGGCTTGAGAGGGAACATGTACAAAGTCCGACGTATTCCTACGATCCCTGTGTCTACATCTAGAGTCATGACAAACTTGGCGAACTTGACCGGACATATGGACTGCAGACGGATGCACACATGTGCATGCGCGTGTAAAAGCACATGCATGCACATACATCTTTATGGTAACCCCTTTAAAGGGCGCCACCTTGCAGAAATCCCCTGCTGCGGGCCTCCTCCATTGCTTTCACCTGCTCCTCTGGCTTCCTTTCGGCTGAGGGTTATAGCAGCGGCGGCAATCACGGTAACAGTGCAGCGAAACGCTGACCACAGCAGAGGCGCAGGGGCTCCAGTTTGAGCTGCAGCTATCGCAGTTGAAATAGCAGCCGTAGTAATTGGTTATAACCATGCAAATCCATATCGAGTGTGGCAGTGGCAACTACACTTTTGGGAGCGACCAATAGGTGTAAGGTAGGGATAGTAGGGCCTAGACTTCAAAGGCGCAAACCAGGCCACTTCACAGGATGCAAAATTAACGTGTCGCACATTGAGCAGACCCAACCGAGGGGCCCAAGACCTAGACCCAAGAGGCAAAAGCGAGAAGTGACTGAATGTGAAGGAGCCCTTTTGGAAAGAGGAAGAACTCCAACGATCATGGACAAGAGACTTTATGCATTCTGCTATCACTAAGATGTTCTTGCACTGGGCTCATGCGCTGCAAACCTTAGGACCCTTACCCTCTGGGCCTTATCAGCGAGGCTTTGTCGTCATCCGACAGCCCATTCAGGTTTCGCCTCACACGCTCCACCTGGCCGGTGTATGAGCTGTAGTCTAAACTCACTACAGGGGGTTATGTAAGGGAGTATTATACTAGGAATTTAGATTATAGCTCAGTTCGGGAGAATCTTGGCAGATTCCCAGTTGTACCTCTTGCTAATGCAGATTTCATGTCTAGCGCGCACGGCCGCCCCCCACCCCCCCGCTTCGTTTGGGCCCCGTTCAGCGTTGGCTTTGTTTAGTGTTCAGGGTTTTCGGAATATTCATCAACGAAGGTCTATCAATTCTTCAGCACCTCCTCCTGCTGAGGGTTCTCACGGCCAATCATGTATTGGACACTGAAAGAATCGAAGGCTGCTGAGAACCCTCAAGCTCTTTACTCCCTATACAATCCCAAAGTCATCCACACAAACATAATCCCGATTCCCTCGCTACACACTCCTGTCCCACCCGAATACCCACCCTTAGCGATAGAGGGGCCTGCGCAGCCAACACTGTCCCTGCCTCACGGCTTGTCATGTCGCGGTACTGGCGCAGGTTGTCCAAACAGGTGGCAGCAGCCTCAATTTTCTGGGGTCCAGTGCTTTACAATCCTTACATGGAGGCGCTTGGGATTCCAGCCAGCTGGTAGGTACAGATACAAGAACTGGAGTTGCTAAATCTGCCCTCTGGCCAAAGCATTTTCAGGCTGGCGGAGTTCTTGACATTTGAAAAAAGAGTTGTTTTAGAACTTTGGCAAAGGGTCGCCGGGACTAATTTTGACAAGGACATGACACTATAGGTTTTTTTGGAAGGATGGGACCCCTGTCTACCCGCCTGAAAGAAGAACACACGCGAACCCTCCCAAACCTTTCTCCCTGCAGCATCTGCATCAAGCTCGCCAAAAGAGCGCATGATCGGAGTGGATGGCATCGTTGGGGCTAAGAAATGGCTAAGGATTCCAAAGCAAGGATACCCCTGTAAAGGTAGCAGGCCCACTTTTCAAAGGATTAGAGCAGACAAACTCCCGCTTCCGAACAGCAAGTAAAGCTACAGCTCCTACGCTCTCCCGAAACAAGAGAGCATTCCTTGCCAAGTACTCTTGGGTTCTGTCACCATGTCCAGATCTACCGCAAGGAAATGATGTCACAATGTCCCAAGCACATCGCATTGCTGGCATACCTGTCTGGGAGCATGAGGCGCGAACCCAGTCAGGAGGCCGCTCACACGGCGTAGCCATCGAGGGCCCCAGCCAGGCTGAAGGACCTGCTAGCTATGAGCTATATTACGCTTCGAACAGACAGCTGCGGCATCAGAACCAGTGGCGTCAGTGGCAACAATACTCTTCAAAGGCCATGTCAGGCGAAGTTGATCGATGATGCTGAGAAGTTCCCTACGAATCGATCATCACGGTCCGAATTCAAAACATCCTGCTGTTGAACACTACACATACACGTCCGAGTTGGGGACGTCATATCCCTTCTGGAGGATTGATTACTTTCGCAACTACGGCTTCGCGGAAGAAAACTTGATGCTACTGGTAACTAGTACGATGGAGCCTCAACACCAGGAACTGCCAGACGGCTGTCCTACTTGTGAGACAATCCCATGACCTGCACAAACTTACAGGTTGTTCGTAGGGAATATGGGAATGTGATCCTTATAAAATCCCAGTATAATGTATTCCCTTACTCCCCACCAACCCCCAGTAAGCAAACACCATAGCCACTCAAAAGAGTTGGCCCTTTTTCTGCTCGGCGCCGTGCAGCGTCTTTGTAGTTAGGCGCCTCCCATTTCAGGTTTCGCCGGGGCCTTGGCCACAAGCAGCTCCTCATGAAATCCGGCTGGCCGGTGCAGAATGCTCTTGAACCCAAGAAAAAAATCCTATGATATCTAATCTAAGTTTCTTGGTTTCGGCAGGTCGGAAGAATCATCTTGCTGGTCTAAGGTCTATTTGGGGGGCCGTGTTGTGTCAACTTTGTATGCATGAAGATCCACTGGTCATCGAACAATGGAAAAAGTTTCAGGTGGGACGACTGTTTGGATTTGAACTACTCGGCATTAATATTGACCTCATATTAGTAAACCCGAAACTAAAACCTCAAACCACAACCGCAACCCCGAAAGAGGGCACATCAGTGCTTCGTTCTGAATGAAGCGGGGGTCGTCAAAGAACAGCTCCACCTGTCGCGCGCGCGCAGTAGCTGTTCTTAAGCTTAGGGTTTCGACTCTCACAACTCGCACAGGGCAGGCAAGGCAAGACACGTCCAGGTCCAACACTCTCACTGTACACCCACTGCCCTGGCCAGAGTCGTCGCAGACAGCTGCTTCAACCAAAGCCGCCAAACGCTCAACACCCAACACACCGTGATAATTACACCCCACAAGCACGCGAGACTCCAGCACAGGGCAAAAGATTTTGAGATAGCCACGCGAGCTATGCACTGCTTCGAAACACCAACTTACGGGAAATTGATCAAATAGCCCAGGACATCCTGATACCACACTGCGATCAAATGCCAAAGCCAAGCCCACCAGTAAATTTAAAAGTCTAACTGCGCCGCATGGCAATGCTTGGCGGTGGTGGCCTTGCACTACAAACTACAAATCTCAGCCATGCTAAGCACAATAGCACAATAATTGGATGAGGTCTTTCCGGTAAGCGATTTCCTTGCTTCTGGAAAGTCTATAAACGTCTCACCACTAATTATGCAAAGCCTGCTCAAGGCCTCATCGTGCCGCCCCACGGAGCGCTTCGGTAAGATGAGTCCATTGGTCAACAGCATCATAGCCAGTGACATACTCTCCTGCCATGGTTCCGATGAAGCCCACCATAGCCAGCCTTCCATGTTCCAGTTCGAGTGTGCGGACGGCTTCGAAATCCGTGTACTCGAAGATGGACCTTTTCCTTAATCCAGCGGGGTCCCCAAAGTCCCCAGGTGCCCGGCCTTTGTCAGTCCAAAAGACGGTCTCGAACCAGCCAGAAATCAGAAACAAGATCCCGAAGGCTTCTGCAGACGGACTTGTAAAGATGGCACCAAAACCACTGGGCACATCAGTGAGAGATGATGCCTTCAGCTCCCCAAAAGCCCCTGTCAACACGAATGGGAAGCGATAGCTGTGTTGGGCGATGAGGCCGACCACTGCCAACATAGCCACGCGACCATGTTTCAACTCTGCACCCCTGTAGCGGTTGAACTTCTCTTCATCACCTGTTGACAAGTTGAGGGGATCCCAGCGCTCCATTCCCTTGCTGGGATCGACCAGTGGCATAGTAGCACCAACGGTCCCTGGCCAGGGCCCGAACTCCCCGGACATGCCCCAGGTCATCCCAAGACTTCCTCCCATAAGACCTGGCTTCGCTGCACTGATCTCTTTGTCTGTTGTCTTTGCCGCTTTGGATCCAGCCGCTGCCTCTGTCTCGCCTCCTTTAGCCTTGCGTTGGGCGCGGGAGCTTGCGAAAGCCACAGCAGAAATGGCGAGTGGGAAAGCGCCAACGGATCCACACCAGGATGCTGCACCTTTGCGAGTACCCTCAGGTCTGCGGCTGTTCCCGAGATCCTTTGTGTTTGCAGCTGCTGGAACGAAGGTGACAGAGACGGAGCCCAGGTAGATCAAGCAGGCTGCGCAGGCGCCGGCGAGGAGAGTGTAAGGGCGCATTGCGTGAAAAAGTGAGGGCAACACCGGAGCAGGCTCTCAAAACTTGGGCCAAAAGGGCTTCCGCATTGCGCTGACTGCCAGAACTGCGTTCAAGTCTGCTGGTGCATCACACCGCCTGGCTCAAGGGGTATAATTGCAGGAAGCTGGTATAGCAAAATTGGCTCTGGATAATATGTCCGGTTGATTTGCTTAAAGAACTCAGGCACTGCGCTTCACAAGTTGCAATCACAGGCAAGGCATTGCAAAGCGAGACAGATGCACCTGAAAGATGATGTCCGTATCGCCGTCGTCCAAGAGGCTCTGTCTGTATAAAACATTAGATGCACCTTGCCTGGTCACCGTACGGTTGGTAGCCTTAAAGCAAGGTCTTCTACAGCGTAAAAACCCTTCAACAGCACGCAGACGTACGTTCTTGCACCTGTACCGTACGCAAGGGCAGGTATGTCCTCCGAACCAAACCGCCCAGGCTAGGACATCCCCATCCCTCAGTTGGGGAGGCCAAGATTGCCATCTGAAAGCTTTCAGGTCCATTTGGGGACATCCTGCAAGATGTAGGGGCGTTCATAGAGCTAAGCAACTCCCATGAGGATTGATGAGAAGGTGTGCTGCTGAGGAGTGGAGCACCCAAGTCAGAATCTATCAAAACAGTTTTCGGGGAACGGGTGCCATGACTTGGGCACGGCTTCTCACTGACTGAGAAATGCAATTTTTAACCCGGGAGCACAGATCTGGTCGTTCCCTATTACCGCAGGGCTTAAAGCCGAACGCTGTCCAAACAATAGTGAAACTCGTGTTCTGGATGGCTCTGCGCCATCTCCAAACCATGCTTTAAGTATCCGCAGTCGGGAGTCATCGAACGGAAATTCAAGGTACCAAGGATCCTCAACTTTGGGAACAGCTGCTCACATGGTCTGCTGGAATTGGCACTCGCGAATCAAAGGGTCCTAGATTGGAAAGCTTTGAAAATTTTGACGCACGCCCCTGTGGATGTTTCTCCGAGGACCCCGATGTAATGCTTTCGCGGGCATCCCATCATCCTGTCGTAATGTCCATGCTGTCCCACAGGTCCCCATATGGGGGGAGCCCTGTTTGGAGAAACGCCCCCATGGCCAGGCCAAGCCCAGAAGTGGGTAAGAGGCTCTCTCGCGAACGGCGCTCCTAGGCGCAGCTGGTGGGGAGTTCTACGCTGGGACTCAGACAGGAACTACAAACAGATTGCATAGAACGTGTCACCTGAACATGGAGATTAAATCATGTTGAGCTCTGACAGGGGCTCTGGGAGCCTACCCCAAGCACCATCAAAGGCAAAGGCTCGGAGAGCCCTGATAAGACAAGAGGAAGCTTTAAATCTTTTAATGTTCACCCGCGTCTCGGCAGACTTGTGGGCCCACAACCCTAAAAGCAAACGGTCCAAAAGCTGCGTAAGCCATAGCCCATAACCCTCCAAGCTTCAGACCCCCATATCCTACACCATACAATGTAACTCACAACTTAAATGAAAGGTATATGATATCTTTTCAAACTAAACGTACCCCGACATAGACCCCAAGATACTGAATAAAATCCATATTATTGGGGCCTAAAAAATGGCACCCCTGAATGTGGGAAAACACCATATGCGAAGGTCCCAAGAAGAGGGAGGCTCTCCCTTAGTCCTTACGCAAAGGGGCCCCACACATTTCAGCTGCACCTTTTTGGGTGTGATTGGTGGAGTCCGCCGAACATGGGTGAGCTTACAGGCTTAGTGTAGTTTTCTACCGCTTCTGTTAAGGAGTTGCTAAAATTTTCAGGGAAACATTGCTCGTGGCTGAGATGTGCAGTCCTGACACATGGGGTTTCATGGGGGTTCCAATCTAATGTCGCGGACGCTACGAAGAACTGCGCCCAACGGACCTGGGCACAATGGTAAGCAGTATTACCAGAATACGATATAGTAGCATTTTCATATTGTGGAGCTGCAGCTTGTAGTATTGCTGGCAGGATTGTTGGCCACTGCCCATGTGGGTATGAATTAGTGGCGAAGATCCAGAAGCAAAGGCTCGTAAGAACTACGATTTCATGGAAATTGGAAGTACGCCTCTATCCGTATTTGATCTGAGGTCCTGGCGTCGTTCACCGAGCCGCATCCATTCAAGCCCGATCTGCGGCCTGTGGTTTCAAGGTTGGGCCACCGCAGTCTCGGGTATGCAGTGTCTTGTCGATACTCCCGTCTACACAAGGCATGCTAAATCCCATCAGGCTTTCATGAATCACTTTCTCACGATGCAAACACCACCTCCCTCAAGCATTCCTCGCTTCTCCGTTTTGGATTTTTTAAACACTCCGGGAGTTGTTTGATGCTTAGAGGAGATGGCGGAAGATGAAAAGGATTGAAAGGGACCACTCGGGGCTTCCTGTTGCCGACGCATGGGTTCCAGTTGGTCTGACCACATTACCAACCGAATCAACCTGCTGGGATCCTGCAATACCTCAGTTTCATCTGACCAAACCCTGAGTACCACATGTTCCGGAATCTTCGGTAGCTGGCATGAGTGGCGTACCTGCAACTGTCCGACTTCATGTCAAAACAAATTGGCAGAACTCTGTAAAGAACCACCGCGTCAGAAATTGCAAGGCAATGGCCAAAGACAGGCTTGCACGATGGACAAACCATCAGAAATGTGATGCTCAAGAATTCAGGGAATCATGAAGCACTCAGGGTACCCACCAGGATTCTTGGAAGGTCATGTGCTTGTAGATAGGAAGTCCAATAGGCGCCCACTCTTGCTCACAAGTCATTGCCAACGGAGCATTCCAGCACCAGCGCCTCACTTTCTCAGCCAGATGTCTCCATCTTCCCAGTGGATTGCCACCTGGGCATCTGCATGGACCTTCCACGACGCGCAAGGTTTAAAGACATCAGATCAGGGTGTGGGACCGTCGATGGCGTGCCGCCTTACACAGAGGTTTACATGCGGTGAAGGTTGCCGTCTAGCTGAGTCAGCTGAGTTAGCCGTACACTTCGAAAAAAAGTTCCCTTCAACTTGCCTGTGCTAACGTCAGACCCCTGCATAACTACGAGGCAGGTGTTCCTCATCCGAAGAAATCCTTGTAGCGGGTTTGTACACAAACGCATGCCTAACTCTGGCAGTCGACATTTCCGAGTTTTCGTAAGCAAGTCCTGCACTCAGGGTTATTCGTCCGCTGCACACTGGATCAGCGGCTACAAAGCAAGGAACTGTGCAATCGCCCATTTGCACCTACTGTTGCGTCCTGCGTGTAGTTCTTGTGTCTTGGCAGCCAATCACACATCGCACTTACATACCAGGGGATGGGTGTGAGAGCTCCTCCCATCACTTTTTCTGGCCTCTCCAATGGTCATGTGCTTGCCCAGCTGAATCTTGATCTGAATGTTGGAGCCTGACATGAGGAATTTGACAGACAAGGCTTGTGGCAGAAGGGTTGGGTGGTTGAGTTGAGAGCCATAAAAAGCGTTCGGATAAAGTCTTCGAAAAATCTGGGACCATGAGGTTAACGGTTAATGCATGTTCGCATAGGGGCTCTGACTCCCAGGACTGCGTAACATAGTTCCGGGGGGACACTGGCTTCCCTGTATGGGTCTTAAACGGCCTTACTTCCCAAGCCCTTATAACGCACCAAAACTCCCTGCTCCTGAGATGTCATCCGGGTCCCTCGGAAGGATCTCGAGGTCCGAGAAATACTCTGGCATCTTCCTGTGTCGTTCAGCCTCCTAAGCCCTAAGAGGGCCTAGAAAATTGGGACACTAGCAGATTGGATGGGATTAGTCACGGAATTGGGCCTTGACTCTCTCCTGTATAGCAATTCAGGGGTTCGTAGTGCTGCGCATGCTGGAAATGAAGCTGTATGCAAGGCACGCAGTAGCCTCAGGGACTTGGGCTTAGGACACCTTGCGGCTGTTGCCTCCTGCTTCGAGCCTCTTTGTCAAGTGTTGCCTCTGTACTGGCTAGCGTCTAGACTGGAATGCGAAAGCCTGAGGACCTATGTGTGGGCTTGGCAATGTACTTGTACAGCAGAGCGGGAACCATATCTGTCAGGACTTAGATGACCCGGGGATTCCAAGTTCGGTTGCCAAAACATGGGCTCCACAAATGTTCCGATAACATGCTTCCACGCGCCAATTCCAGGCCCTTATCAAGTGGTCGTATGACCACTCAGATGCTGCACCTGTTCCGGGGCCTCGCCAGTACAGTGAAATGCACACCGGAAGGCATGAAGTAGGGATGCAGAGAGCTTCTAGTTTGCAGGCCGTACAGATGCCCCCAAGCTGTGCAACTGTGCAACTACTGCGTCCTGTCGTCTAGCACGGTGCCTATGCGTTACAAGCCACTGCTGCGCACGTCGACTTTACAATTCTCATCTACTCACCTCGTATTGTACGAGTAGACTCTTGTAGACCCGCGATCAACGAAGCCGAATCTCTTCACAGGTGCTCTGGTAGATAATCACTATTTGGCTCCTTCAAGAAATAAGGCTGCATTCGCTAGGGGTGAATTTTCAGGCGAACTTGCCAACGGAATGTCTATGGAGGTTGGTGAACTCTCTTCCATACAGTGACCTGATTGCAAAAAGAGTTGCCATCCTCTGCCTGCTGTTCACAACGTACTTCAACTGACGCAAACCCAACCACAATCTTTCGCTTGGTATTCGCGGTCCTATAATGCATCCTTGTCAACCAGCCCTCTGAAGCTACCGCCGGAAAAGAGGCACGAAGCTCAACCTTTCAATTTGATCAGAAAAGGGTCTATACACCCCAAGACTATGTACGAGACGAGAGTCCAGTGGACGTGCCAGATGATGTGCCGGCCAGCCACCTCGCCCACGTGTAGGTTGTCTTCCTCAAAATGCCATAAGGCTTATAGGCTTGGGGATGAGCCTTGATCCGTAAGGTCTATTGCGTGTCTCCACAGCCCGAGCGCTCCCCCTCGCTCCAGAAACTGTTGTAGGCTTGCCTTTTCTCTATGCCTTTCTGATGTTAACGTGAAAAAGTGGCGGCTTTCATGTTCTTGCTGCCCTTGAGAACAGGCGCTTCTCATGTGCAGTATCCACCAGTTATGCCAATAAGAACGCCCACATCCCTAATATTCCCCTAACATACGGTGCTATACTTGAACGGGTCCCTACACCTACATATAGACTCGATGCCCTGCCTACCAATCAGCCTCTGTAGCTGCCACGCTTGCTGGAGATGATCTGGCCCCTAGAACTTAGGTGGAGGGTCTAGAGATACGCGTCGAAATCATACAACCCACAAGCTGAAATGGTCCAGCTCTGACAACCCCTCATATACTATAAATTCTGTCTCCCACAACAAGGACTCCGGAAGCCTCATGCAAGGTTAGGGTTTAAAGTTTAGGGTTTAGGGCAACAGACAGAACCCCCGACTTTTGGAAACTCTTACCTGACCAGGCCCTGAGATAGGTCGCGGTGCCTGTCTGTACCAATGTCCTTGCAAACCTTCAAAGGCCGGATCCCGTACCTTGGCAGATGGATCCCCTGTACAGTGAGGGACCCTGGAAATGAGGACTGCAGCATTCAGGATAAAGGAGCACACTGACTTTGATAAGACAGAGCAAAAAGATGACAGAGGATCATATCTGGCAGCAGGTTGCTTCAAGTGCAAGCTTGCTGCTCAATCTAGCTGGCGAAAACACTGCACACCCCGAACTCGAAGCCTGAGCATCAAGCCGAGTCTAGCTCAGCTGGAAGCCTTCAGTAGTTCAGTAGTAGGGTCATTTCACGATGCGTAGAGATGTCTAGAGAATAATACTTCTACCAAATCCACAAGACATCTAACAATAAATCATGCAAAGCTTCACGCTGCAACAATCGATCCAAGCTGAAGTCCCGAACCAAACTCAAGGTCGGCACTTTGTTGATGTACATCCTACACCCTCATTCTTTAGTCCCAAACTCTGATTGCTTTCTGAGATGCTTCGTCGTTTTCTAGCGGCTCTGGAATAAATTGCAGAGTGGAGCCCACGTCCACGTTGTTGAGCTCGCCTTTGTCTCCTGCGTGCACACGAAACTACGCTAGGGGGCTCCAAGCTGTAGACAAAAATCTCGCTGTCTTGCTGGGACATCACTCTATACACCGTGGTGTCTGATGATCGGCCTGCGGTGGGCAAGTTGAAGCAAGGCTCATACAAGTGCAAATGCGAGATGTGAGGCCGTCTGTGTCAATGATAAACTTTACATTGCCCCGTGACTTCATGCAAAGCAGGGGCCCAATTCTCATCCCACTGCATGTCTTATAGTTGCCTGAGATTGTGCATCACCTTGCGCGCCCTGAAATGGCCACCCCTAAATACACTAGCAAAACCAACATCTAGTATGATGCAGACAGCATTCACTGTCTACACGCCCCTTAACTGCTTGCACAAGAAGAGCTAAAGTAGCTTTGTCTTGCAGGCCATGAAGCAAACACGCCTCCACATCTGCATTTCTGTTGGCTGCACTCGGCGCCCATGCGAAGTGGAAGCAACCAATGAAACCGCGAATAAAGAGCTCAAGCCCCTAGACCCTGGCGGTGGTGGGCTGCCTTACCCAGCAAAGGCTTAGCCTGAAGGCCCCACAGGATGTAGTAAGAAAGCTTCACAACAAATCTGGATGAGCTCCGCCGTTCCTAAATCTTTCTCCAACCTGTACTGCAGTGATGGGCCTGCGACGCTTCGCTCGTGAAAACACAATCAAGCAGGGCGCTTTGGGGATTCATGGACTGTCCTTTCTTCTAGCAGCCTTGCCAAGTTCCATCTGCAAGGTTGCGCCGTGAGATGTCAACATTTCCTGCTTTGCTTTAGCTGCGCGCCTCAAAACATACACAGGGAGAGAAGGAAGCTCCAGAGCAGAAAGCTGCGGATGCCAGTCTCATGGGAGACAGATCTGTTGATTGTGGCGGGTTGGCCCCCATAAATATTGTGAAGCGTTTGCTGCCGAAACACTACCAGCCAACAGCTGGCACTGCCGCTGCTTTGCATTGCTCAATGCGCGCGCCGCTTTCCGGCGTGCGTAAAAAGAATGTGCACGGCAGCAAAAACAACGGCCCTTCAGCGGACACAGCAGTCAACCTGAGCCGTATCACTACTGACTTTTGTAATATTTGTGACTTAAGCATAGCGGTAAAGCCATCTAAAACCTGGCTGTGGTCGACTGACCCTGATATCCGAAAGCTGCTTCGGTCAGGTCAGTATAGGCTTCAAAACCAGGTTGTCCCTGTCTCGCAACAGGAGCGGGACCTAGGGGCACATTTGGTTTACACGTGGGCCCGTGGAAGCGGCACGTTCACTGAAAGGTTCGCCGCTGCCACGAACACAGCCCATTGTTTGCGCATCTTGCCTGTTGCATTTTCTCTTAAGGTTGTTGCCATTAGGATTAGGGGAAAAAGCTCTGTACGCCACCGAAGGATCAAGGCCTCCACTGCGTGATATGGACACACTACGTGCTGCAGTGACCTCTTCGGTCTGGTCCCACGAACGCCTCTTTAGGAGCAAGGTTGTTGTTTCAAATTTGCTGCGCGGGGTAGACCCCCCTCAAAGAAGTGTACTTTTGCCCGTTGCTCGCTTTAAGGAAGCTTCTCTCCATAGGTAGCATACCCGGCCTCTGGCAACATGTTTACCAGGACTTCCTCTCCAGAAAGGCCAGCACAGGTTTCTTGTTCCGCGTTGTTGAGTCTTTCCAAGTTCTGGGATGGTCACCTTCCCCAGACTGCATTGTTTGTCGTCTCAATTGCGCGTTTCCTTTCCTTCTTTCTCCATTCCAAAGGTTTCGGGAAGCCCTTGAGGAGGACTGGTCGCGTCATATTTCGGGAACGTTGGTTGACAGAGCACAGTCCCATGAGCTCGCGCATAGCAGACTCGACATCGTACTCATAACTAAGCGTCTCAAGGTTTTCCCTGATAGCCTTAGGAGTGACCTCGATTCTGTTTTGGGTGCTAGCCATCGTTACAGGGTTTGCCAATTGCCTCAGGCTGCAAGGCAAGGTCGGGATGACAAAGTGTGTCCGTTGCGCGGCTCCTTTTCGGAAGGCCCTCAGCACGTGTGGCTAACATGCTCTCATGGGCGAAGTCATATGCATGCCATCTAGCGAACTTGCAACATCTTTCCCACAATCACCCAAGGCATGGGTGGCAGCTGGAAAACTTGGTTCACCATGGCTTTCCAAGGTCGAATCCAATAAATGCCTCTGTAGCCCCCTTCATAATCCCACATGTATTCTCGTATATAACCCCTTTAAGGACCTTAGACTAGGAGCTAGCCCATCCATATCTGCAACTGCGTTGTTTGACTTTGTTGGTCGCAGGCTGGAAAACAAGGCAGCAATCATACCGCTTGGCTCGTGTCGTGACAGGTTCCGATGCTGCAACTGAAAACCAGACATACCCTGAAAATCATGACCGTCTACTATTGCCCATACTCCGACTATTTAGCTGACATGCTCTTGTTTTCCAGGCTTCCGGATCACCCTAAGCCCTAAACCCACAGAACCCCAAACCCTTAAAACCTTAAACCCCAAACCCTCAAACCGTGTAAATGTTTCTACAATCCTGCAAGGCACTGCTTGCGTATCAGAGCATCAGACACACGCTGCGAGATGCGCACCCTTGCAACTGTAGAGGTGAAGTACTTCAAATTAGGTGTTTGGGATATTTGGGGCATACTGTATGTTAATTTGAATGCATGACAATGGGGTATACATTAGAACAAGCATGCTTGGTAAGGATTGTAAGGGGACATTTTATAAGTGCTGTGGCGTGGTGTATGTGAGCGGTGTAAGTGCTGTGGTGTGCGCAAGGCGAGCGTTTTTTGACGAGGAACCCTTCGCGGTGCTTTCGCGAAAAAAAGCCGTCATGCGGTTGATGAGATGTAGATCCTTACTCTACTAGGTTACCATAATTCCTAGGGTTTAAAGTCTTCAAGGTCATGCAGGATTTCTAGTATCAACAGAGTCTCAACATTTCCCCTCCCCTAATTACAGCAGGGCGTCTGTTCAAAACGAAGCAGAACTGTGCAAATCTTGTTTCTTCTCTCCGACGGTTCTGCGCCTTCATGTTGTTGTGTTTTCACAACAGCCTTGATTTGCTGAGGCGTTGCTCCGCAATTACATGGCAGCAAACAGAACTGATGCAAGCTGTGTCATTCTGAAACTGTTGGGATACAATCTCGCTCCCTTTCCTCTCAGTAGCCAATCAGAGACTGAAGTAATCTCAAGCGTCAGACGAACTGACCTGACCATACGCATAAGGCACAAACCTTCCTCATGAAAACCCTGGGCTATCATCACCTGACATTCTCTGTTGTGGACGAATGAATCAGTGGCTTTCGATTGCTTCATCGGCCACACAAGCAAACTGCGAGCACGTGCAAAACGTATGCGTACAAGCGTGCGTGTATCCGTCTTATGTGCCAGATGTGTAAACCTTCATGGTCTGGCCCAATTGTCTACCTGCCCCGCGACCCTCCCAAAAACGGATAGGGTTTAGGGTTTCTCAAAGTATCAGAACAAGCTACTAACCCTAAACCAGAAACAAAAACAAAACTCAGGACAGTCGGACAGCCCCTATCCCCAAAAGCTTAAGCCCTAAATAAAATGCATTTCAAGACAGCCCCTACCCCTTAAAGCCTAAACACTCAACAACACGAACTTCAGGACACAATTCGACTTTTCTGACTCCCTATGACCTACTATATAGTGCCTACGGAGGATTGGGCGAGTAAATATGAGTATTGTTACAAGGTGTTATAAGGTGTGCAGTGAATATAGGTATTATTGTAGGGGGTTATACGGTTTAGGGTGGAAGTAAGGAGAATTCTCGGGGATTCTATAGAGATTATAGGCATTCGCTCCCCCACTCGATGTGCAGATGAGCCCTGGACTAAACTATGTTGGGTTTAGGTTTTAGGCAAACCCTAAACCCTAAACCCTGTAGCCCTGCAGGGTTTAGGGTTCAGGGTTCAGGGGACCATAAATGCATACCTTCAGTGACAAGGATGCGGTGCTCGAGTACCTAGAAATATATGTTTTTTGTTTTCAACGTCTCTTTTCCACATGCGTTTCAGGCCGCTGGGTATTTGAGATTTGGGGTGACATTCTGATACTGGGGAGGAACGATTGGGTAGAGCAGGGTTGAGATGTTGCGTGCTATGAGTATGAAATGACTGTGAAGGGATGGCGTGACCATGCGTGACCTGATTACTCTTTGCGGGGGGCTTCGACTCCACATTTGAAGCTGCACCCCTCACTGCAAGCCAGACAACCAGTCCTAAACCCAACACCTCTACGTCGCAACAGGGAAGGGTAGCTGTGCCGAAAAGCCCAGGTATTTTTCAGCGGCTCATACTTCAGACTCCATGAAATCACGCAGCACGCAACCTCATCTTGCCACCTCTCCTGGAGCGAGCCCAACCTCATCCGCAACCTGCAATTTTCAAACTGTCTATCTTGATGTCAACTTCAGACCCCCTAACTCGGATTTGCCTCGCTGCGCGTCAGCCACAGTTCTTGGATGGATCGGCATTTGGACTCAAGGCCTCTGCGGCCATGCTGTGGCAACAACCGAGACCTACTGTTGCCATGACTTCTGCAGGTGTCTGATACTTGCAAGACTACCGCCCCGTCCCATGACCTGGAAACCACCCATCCGCTGTTCTTACTTGTTGGTGGACAGCTGGGATAGTGGAGCTGTCGCTCTCCGGCCCTCAACAGTCTCCGTGAGACCTCTCCCAAGGGCTTGTTCCTCCAGGCGAAACCCGAACTCAGAAGCCAGCTGGATTGATGCAGTCCATGTTTTAGATAGTTGCTTCTGGACAGAAACACATATTCAAGGAGCCTTGAAGTGAAACAAACTGAATGACAGTCAAGCAAAGTTTGCTCGTCCAACACACGTAAGTTGTCACCCTTTACACGTAGACGCTGTAGACGGCAGACATCGTAAAAATACCCAGATCCTCGCAGCACGGTCGCCACCAATCAAAAACTGCTGGTTGTCTGTCGGTAGGCCTGCAGCACGGTCATGATGCGCCGCAGGACGACCTTCAGCTGGGGAAATCTGATAACAGCAAATCCTACTTGGGGCGCGCCTGTCTCCAGCACACAAGACTAAATGTGAGTGAACGTGTCACTTTCTGTGGCCCGGTAAGATCTGTGCCTATGTTATTTTGGACCTCGTCCTCGCAAACAATGGTAGAACCAGGATCATGACACTGATCACGAAACCTGAGGGCAAGGCCACATGGCTGCGCAAGCCAGCTTTATCCACGGGGTGAGACCCTTCAGATGGCAGGAAAAGCCATGCCAAAATGGGTTCCCTGTGGGAAATGCACGATCGGTGGTAAGCGTTTCACACAAGTGGTAGTTTCCCAAAATGGGGGACCGCAATATAGACCCCCAAATACAATAGTCCTTATTACAGGGACCCCCAAACCCCTCCTTTTGGGAAACCCCCAACTGAGAACTGGCGTGGAATTCTGGGA